TCACTACAGGCTCTCCTTGACTTGAGGGTTTGTGTTGAAAAGTCTGCTGTGATTCTGATGGGCTTTCCTTAATCGCCACATTTCTCAAGACTCCATGAAGTGGTTAATTGACTAATTGTGAACTTGAGTGGGAGCGCCCAGCTGAATTGAGTTTGTTCTGGGTGTGGAGGACCCACTGAAAGAGGATTGTTGTCAGAAGAGTATAAAAGGAGAACTAGAGGGAGGGATATCATGCTGATTTCCCTTGGAAGAGCATCGTTGCTGCTGATTTTCTTTCTGGGTGCTTTTCTTCAGAGAAGCTTCAGCTGTTCTCTTTCGGCTGAGGTCTGGTCTTTGCATTTGCCAAGGATGGCTGCTGTTCTCTTGGGAGGAGCTCTGGTTTTTGCCTTTGCCTTAAGCATCATCTCCTGGTTCTCAACGCAGATTCTTCAGCTTCCAGCACTGGTTTTCAGGTCTGCCAGTGCAGACTCTCTAGCCTCCAAGCACCAATCCTTGGGCTTTCGAGCACAGACGCTTCAGTCTTCCATGCCAGATTCCTTGGCCTCCTGATACAGACTCATAGGGGACATTGCCATGGGCTTCAGGCCTTCAGCTGGATTCTTCAGCTCTCTAGTGCTTGGACAGATCTCTTGCCCTCTTCTATATTTGATTCTGTGGGCAGATATTTCAGTTAATCTTGTAAATTTGTGTCCTGCATTAAATCAGTTTTTCTTGCAAATACTAGTACACTCCATAAATTCAGAACTGGAATAATCATTCCCATTGCTCGCTTTGACTCATTTGTAAAATGGTAACCAAAAGATCATTATCTGTTATCATCTATCTTTCTCACTCACAGAGATGAGACAATGGAGTTCACTGTGCTCTGTTTTAAATTGATATAAATGGCAGAAACCCTTTGTCCTTTTTTTTTCAGGAGTTGCAACACATTTAATAGTTTGATGGGGAAGAGGTGACATTATGATTGCTAATTCTTAAGCTAAGATAATAGAGGAGGGCAAAATTGGAAGTGGTAGCCAAATACGAGTAAGTGGAGTTTAGTTCCTTGCTCACATGTTCTCACTTCAGAGGCCATAAAGGTTTTCTTATCCCTAAGAACTACCACAGCTTTTTAACATCTGAAAATGTCATATTCTTCCAGTTGAAGTTTCTCTGTTAAAATGCAGACCAACCACCTTGTAGAGTCAACATTTTGTTATCAGTCACTCATACTTTTGTGGAAGTATTTTCCATTCCTGCTTGGAAGCAGCTTTTGGTAGAGAACAGGAAGATATTGGATACTGTGGAGACAGAGAGAAGAAAGAAGCATGGAACTTCCAAGACCCATTGGACACTGGTGATTAGGAGGTGGCTTGCCCCCCACAGTTCTATGTATTGGAAGGTTGGTCCCCAGCACGGTGATAAGAGGCAGTGGGGACATAGTGAGAGGTTACTAGAACACTGGAATGCAGCCCTCAGGAAGGGTTAAAGTAGTTCTTGTGGGTCCCTGGTAAGTTCTCTTAAGATTTCATAAGACAAAGCCTGGTGCCTCTCCCTGCACTCTCTGGCTTCCTGACTCACCATGTGATCTCTCCCTTTCACAGTGCTCCTGCCATGATGCCACCCACCTTGCTGTAGCCAAGGGGCCTCATTAGAGGCTGATGGGATGGTCCTGTCTTCTACTTTCAACCTCCAAAATGTAAGCCAAGTAAACTTTTTTTCTTATAAAGTTCCCTGCCTCAGATTTTGTTATAGCAATAGAAAACGGGCTAATATAGATACCTTGCCTGTTTTCCAGTTTTGCTGATTGCTATGATGCAAAAAAATAAAACCTGGTTTACTAATAAATTGACATCTTTTTTTCTGTAACTTTAAGATAAAAACAACTTCAAGCTTGTAGAAAAGTGATAGTATCACGAGAACTCCTATGTGCCCTTTTATCCCCACTTTCTAAAGCCCCCACTTACTCTATTATTTTCTCCCCTCATATATTCACTTATTATTCCTATAGTTTGCTTAGAACTGAGTTTCCATCTACTATCACTTCTCTTTAAACCAAATAGCTTCCTTTAGAATTTCTTGCATAGCAGACTTGCTGCTGCTAAATCATTTCAGTTGTTCCTTATCTGAAGTATTTCATTTATCTAAATACTGTATATTTGTAATAGTTGTTTTCAAGTGTTTTCTAATTCAACATTCAGGTCATTTTGAAGTCCGGTTATATTGATTATTTTTTCCCTTGACTGTGGGTCTCTTTTACCCATTCTCTTCATTCCTGTAATTTTTAAATTGCATATTAGACATTGTGAAACAATATGACATGGAGTTTCTAGGTTCTGTTGACTTCCTCTGAAAAATAATTTTTGTCCCACCAGGCAATTCCTTTGGTGGGTCTCATACTCTAATTCCTACTCTGGGCAGCTGTTGAAAATTCTTCTCAGTTCTTTCAGCCTTTTAGCTATTTGCTTTTTGCCATGTTTCTGAGATACTCCCTTGTAGATGCATTGTTTAGGAATCAGCCAAGAACTTGACAACATTTATATGCAGGTTTTGGAGTGCAACTTGGTCAACTTGAATGGACAGAATTTTTTAAATATTTCATTTTATTTATTGTTATGATGCTGGAGATTGAACCCAGGTTTTTGTGCATGCCAGGCAAGCACACTACCACTGAGCTATATTCTCTGGGCCTGGTTTTTTAAACTTCAAAATAAATATTATTTATAGACACTTGCAACCCCTTCTCCATCCCCCAAACAATAACAAAATAAAATACATTTGCTGTTCTCTCTCAAATACATTTATGTTGTGCATTTTCTCAAGAAATACAGATTTCTTAGCACAAAACTAGTTGCAGGTAAGTTTAACAACGTGAAGCCAGTTGCACTTTATAAAATCTCCAGTTTTTTTTTCAGCTGGTTTGAAATTTCTCAAAATACATCTCTATAGGGCCGGGGATTTAGCTCAGTGGTTTCGCCACCTGCTGCGCAAGCGCAAGGACCGGAGTTTGATCCCCGGTACCAAACAAAACAACAAAAAAATACATCTCTATAAAAATTCCAAGTTTGAGTTACTCATAAGTAAGAACTCTGTTTTTTCTCTATTTGGAAAAAAAGAAACTCTGGAGCTATGAACATCAACATAAAAGAGTGCTTATTTGGCGTCAAATTTGGGGCTGAACCATATGCCCACCCACTGCATGGCCTCTCTTACCTCATTTTCCTACCTAGAATGTGCACTATTACTAATCTACTTAGGTGGGTTAGTTTTTTACTATATCCTGGATAAAGGGTAGGGAACACATTAGTATAGAATCCAATGGTAAATATCACTCTTTTCATTGGGGTTAGAGGTTAAGGAATGTTTCCACACCTAGAACAGGAGTTTTCACAGCTTAGTTCTTCATCACCATTCTCAACTTCTTGTGTAAAACCTGTCTTACCCACACAGGATTCCAGACAGATAAAAGACAGAAAAAAAGAGTACATATTTCTTGTTTTATACCAATTTTGTGTAAGTGTAGCTCTGGCTTTATTAGGGAGTCAAGTAGGAAATAAATTAAGACTAAGCTCTCAGTCCCCATTCAAAGTCCTATCTTAAACACAGGTTGGAGCTAGGCCATGTGTCCTGATTTCCATTGAGTTTTCTGGCATCTCTTCCCATTGCCATTCTGCTATTGGAATAAAGCATCCTATAGGAGAGGGTGGCATATTGCTACAACATGGTCTGTACTCTAGAACCATCAGTTGGATGAATTAGTTAGCTTCATCAATAATCTTCTGTTTATTCTCTCAATTATATTTTCTAGCTTAAATTTATTTTTTAAAAAAATTTTTGTATATTATTAATTTTATTGGTACATTTTAGGTATAAAATATAATGACATTCATCACTGGGAATTTGCACCTTTTCATACTCTTTCTTGGTTCTTATTTTTTTTCCCCATTCCCCTGCCCTCCCTTCAACCCTTCCACGCCTCCCTATTTACAAAGACCTTGTTTCCATTTTTCAAATTTTCTCTTAAATTTATTCTTATTATCTTAATATCTGGAACTTTTTTATTATCAAAATTTTACTTCATTTCTTCTAAATACTTATAATATTTTTTGACATGACAATCTCCTGCATTTGAGTTTCTGATGAACTCTGTAAATAACCAGACACAGCATAAGGCCAACAGTGAACATCTGTGCCCTCTGGCACTAACTTCTGCCCTTAGAGCAGCTGGCTGGCATCGCCAAACACCAATCATTTAACACATTCGAGCTGTGCACCAATGGGGGCTGACCAATACTTACACATTGAAAGAGGAAGGAGGAAGGAATAGTCATTCCATTCTGCTTCCAAAGAAAACAGTTCCATGGGATCATGGTGGGTTGGGTGCAGGGGCAGAAGCAGGCTGTTGGAGTCACTTTGAAGTGTGGCTGCAGGGCTTCCATCTCTTCCCAGCTCAGCTGTTGAAGCAGGGAAGAAACTTCAAAGCTGGACCTGCTGGTGTTCCTGCCAGTGGGGTGCATGCGATTCCCTCACATAGCTTTAAGGAGAAAGTGAGGAAGGATACATCCTCTCTCATTTGCCAAAGTTTGTTGCTCACCAATATATGAGGTTTTAGTTATTGCTGTCTCTATCTAGTGAATGCAACTAAAACAAATGATTTCATTGTGTAATTTATATTTGTTTATGTAAGCTTATTTTTACAAAACTTCTGAGATGGCCAGTTTTTGTGACCATTCCAGATTGTGCCACACAGTGAACAATGAAGCACTGCCGCACCTGATTAAACCCTCTGCTTATGAGAACATGCAGGAGGCAAAGAGAGTTCAAGATTGTCCCTTGGCTGTTCTGCTACCCTCAGCTGATATTTAAAACTGTTCACAATCCTTTAGTCACTTTTTAATACAGTTGATGCATTCAGATTCATTTGTGAATTTTTTAAAAAATCATTCCATTTGGTCAACAATTTGCCTTGTACAAAGTACTGCATACATTTTTTGATGATAAATACAATTTCTCTGATTTTATTTGCTCTAAACCTTAATTTTTATTTGAAGTTTATATTCTTTAGTTTCACAGTAACAAAGAAATACTTGAAATGATTGTTAAAAAACTCTTAAAATTAAGTAGAGCTTTAATTAAAAAACTATTTGAGTTATACTTGAACCACTACTTTCATCCAGCATTTATTTAAATAAACATGAAAAAAATAAGTAAAAATATTTCACTGTATAGTACAAAATGGCACAAGATAGGAGGGTCTTCAGAAAAGCTTAAGTCTAAGAATAAAAAAATTTTTTTAAAAAGTAGAAGAAACCAGAGAGTAACATTACTGACAATGACATGACTGAAAAGCAAGTTGCCAACAGCTACATAGAGGGATCCATTTGTTCCTACAGCCTGGCCCTGTATGGGTCAAAGAAGCCCCACCTAATAGAAAAGATAGAGAATAAAAAGCAAAACTACAGGCAACACAAGTAAGGGGGGGAAATCGAGTCACAGAAAGCTTCTAAGAGTAGCATCATATGGGTATGCTTCCTGACAGAAAAGTTCTGAAGAAGCAAGACCACTAATTTGATTAAGGAGTCATTTAATAAGAGTACTAAGAATGAAAATTAGTCTGTTATTTATACTGCACTCATCACAAAAACAATCTAAAAAGAAGTTATTCTAACAGCTGGATTTTTATTTTTTAATTTTCCAAAACTATTTTAATCAAGGTGGCATAAACTCCAGGATTCTCACATCCAAAGATACGTTTTTATTTCTCACTGATTGTATCATGAAGAAATCAAAGGTCCTCAGGGGGAGAAACCCACGTCTGGTCTTACTGTATCTTCCTGGGGATGTGCAGGCTCTGTGTTTAGGCCTTTTGAGCCATTTGTATTTGTGTAACAAATGTCAGGGAGAAGTAATTTTAAAAGCAAAATATAACACCAAAAAATGGGGAAAAGCCACAAATAAAATGATTTTATACACAGAGAAGTTTTTGTTTTTCTTTTTTTTTTTTAAATATCATTTGTGATTTCATAGAAGGAAGTAGGCATTTGCTATGGTACTTTTCACAATTACTCTTTAAAAAATTTTTTTTTTATATTTTTGCTCTCTGAGACAGGTCTCACTAGCCTTGTAGTTCAGGCTACACTTGAACTCACTATGTAGCCCAGGCTGACCTTGAATTGGTGAGTGTCCTGCCTCAGCCTCCCTAGTGCTGGAATTAGAGGCCTTTGAGTCACCATACCAGCTAGCAATTACTTCTGTTGCTCATTTTCTGAGATTTCATTCCAGTGAGAGCTGCACAGTGTCAGCTTGGCTTTGTGGCTGCTGATAGTCATACTTCCTTGCTATTAAAAAAAAAAAAAGAGATAAAATTAATAAAACTACAAAATAATTACAAACTAACATCACTGACTCACAGTGATGACTCTCAATAATGAATCAGTTTAGAATTAACCAACTGCATTTTTTTGTTTGTTTGTCTGGTACCGGGGATCAAACTCAGGCCCTTGTGCTTTCAAGGCAGGCAGCACCACTGAGCTAAATCCCTGGCCCCCAACTGTATTTCTTTAGAGGAAAGGAGTTATACTTCACACTCCTATAATTTCTCAACACTGCTCATATCCATTTTTATGTTTACTTTATTACTATTTTTGTATGAACTTTAAAATACAGGATAAACATTAATTAAGCTATTAATGTTTTATAATTTCCTTCTTTCTTACCTTTTATTTCCACCTTAAGTTAATAATAATGTTTTTGTTCCCAAAGTATGGAATTTGACTATAATTTATAACCCTAAGAAACTTATTGAACATAACTTGTCATAAATGTAAGCTGGAAGAAAAAGATATGTAATTCTACCTTCTTTTTATACTTCTAAGAAATATTTATTGAAGAAAAACTACATTAACTTGAACTAGAGAAGATATAGGACTAAAAATTATCACGAATGTCATTCACTGCTTAGTACCTCTTAAATTTTTGCTAACCAAGAAAGAGATTCTACCTGTTTATACTACTCTGGGTAGATCCACTTTTTTCAGCCTAAAGCTTACAACTTTTGGGGAGCTCTCTTTAAGAATTTTGTTTGCTATTTGCTCTTGAACTGGCAGACTTTATCAGGACAAGATGCATCATAGATACTAAGAATGATCCATTACATTGGGATTCAATAAATGTGCAAATCCACAAATAAATTCCTGTTTATATAAATAATGACTCCCAAATATATCATATTCTAATCCCCACAATTTGTGACTATGTTACCTTGTAGGGAAAAAGGGACTTTGAAGGTGTGGTTAAGCTAAGAATCTTGGGAGGAAGGGACAATGGTTGGATTATCTGGCCCCACCTAATCACAGGGCCCTTAATATCAGAGACCTTTCCTGGTTAAATTCACAAGGAGAGGGAAATGTGACACATTTCCAATGGTCTTGTAGCCTGAATGGATTATAAGGGAAAAAGAAGGAGATTTACTGCTTGCTGCTTGCTGCTTTGCTGCTTCGCTGCCTCCTGCCCTGCTATGCTATGGAGTGTTTCTCCTCTGCAATCCCCCTCTGCCATGCTGCCGAATGTGGACTAAAACCTTGACACAAGCTGTGAGCTGAAATAAACCTTTTCTCTTTTTAACTTACGGGTGTTGGTATTTTGTCCTAGCAATAAGGAAGTACCTAAGACACAGCCTAAAGCTGTAGAAGGCAAAGACACAAGTCCCCCGCCCCCACCCCCAGAAGCTGGAGAAATGGAGCTTGCTGGCACACTGATTTCAGCCCAGTGAGACTTTGTTGGGACTTCTAACCCACAAAATGGCTAGATAATGCATTTGCATTGTTTTAGCCCACTGAGTTTGTGCTAATTTGTTAGAGTAGCAATAGTAAATTAATACACCCTGCAAACAGGAATTCTGATAAATTTTACATCATTTCCAGTGAAAAAGGAAAAAAATCAAACAGGTCTATGGTTGTACCTGCTGAATCACAGAATACATTAATGGTAAGAGGGAATTTGTGGTTTGAGTAGACATCAATGAAAACTTAATTCTTTACCTATAATTTTTTTATACAGTTTCAGGTTCTATACATTTTTTAAGTACTTGAAATTTTTAAAGTTT